GCTCAGGGGCTAAGAAGCCCAGGGAAACCCCTCGGGCCGCGTCTGCCTGCCCCCTTTCCCAGTCACGGGAGTTGGACCCCGGGAACTGGGGAGTCAGGAAAGGGCCCTCTTGGGGCCTGGGGAGAGCCCTGAGCCAGCCCTGGTGGGGCCGAAGCACAGCCGGGCGAGCGCACGGTGGGGTGCCAAGCTACAGGGCATTGCATCGGGTGTCGCGGCTCTCCGTTCCCCAACTTGTGTTGCCCCCCCATCCGCCAAGGAAGTTCCGGAAGTCTTGGCTGTTCTCCTAGCCTTGGGTGGGGGAGCCCTGCCGGTGGGGGGTCGGGGCATGGGGCCGGTGCCTGGCCGCCTTGGATTTTCTCTCTTCCGCTGTCTGCTTTTTAACCATAAGCCGCCCAGAGTCGCTCTGGAGCCTCCTCAGGAACATTACTAATAACAGCCATGCCCAGGGCTGGCCTGAAGGGCCAAAGACCGCGGACACATCGCACGCTCTCTCTTGCATTAATACATTTGTCCTCTACCACCCACTCGCGCACGGTGTGGCCTCAAGACCCCCCCGCCTCTGGGCTCTTTCCAACTGTTCCTTTGCCTCCCCCCCAACTTCCCCCCTTCTCTTCACAGATCTTTGCACTCTTTCCTTCTCTTCTGGGCCCTTTCCTGCTTCACTTCACTCCTCTGAGGGCCGTGGGGTACTGGCGTGGCACTCCAGCATGGCAGCTCCTCCCAGGGTGGGTATGTCGGCAGTGCCCTCCCCGGGGGTCTGCCGGCCCCGTGCGGCTGGGGAGCTGGGCCAGGCCGAGGAGGAGGAGGAAGAGCAGGGGGCTCGGCCGGGGCAGAAGAGGATCCCACTGCTCGTCGCCCTCCAGGGGTCCAAGCTCGCTCTTCTTTCCGCCTGCACTTCGGAGCAACCTGGCAGGAAACAGCCGCAGCCCCCTGGGACTGGGGGGCAGCAGGGCAGGCAGCGCAGCCACTCGTGGGGGGAGGCAGGACCCTGCCCGCCGGGAGGGGAGCAAGGCGATCTTCGGAGGCCCGGGGAAGCGGAGGAAGGGAAGGGCTGGTCTCATCCTCCTCTCGCCTGCAGGGGAAATCCGCTGCGAAGCCCCCAACAACAGGCTGGGCAAGTTTACCGGGACCCTCCTCTTCCAGAAGAAGAAGTTCGCCCTCGACAACGAGCAGCTGCTGCTCAGGGGCTGCATCATCCGGAACACCGACTGGTGCTTCGGGCTGGTCATCTTCGCCGGTGGGTGAGAGCGGCTGGCGCTGGCCGGCCGGGGCCGGGGAGGGGGTCGCTTGCAACCCCCCCCCCATGCTCGCTGACCTCCCCCTCCTCGGCTGGGGCTTGCGAGCCCCGCCACAGCCCTTCCTCCTCGCACCGGACGGCTGGGTGGCGCTTCTGGGCCGGCTTCATGAGCAGCGCAATGTCCTTAAGGTGCGGCCGAGCAGCCCCGCGGGAGCCAGGATCCCTCTGGCTTCCCCCTTCCCTGGGCCAGATGCGCAGCGTCGCCCGACGGTTGGCTGCTGCTACGGCCTTGAGGCTGACCCTCGCAGGCAGCGCCATGCCCACTTCAGTATCCTCATTATCAGTTCTGAGGCTGGTTGTCACTAGTTCGCTCTTCTTTGTATTTAATTTTAGTCCTGCTTTTTTCACCGTGCTCCTTGAGTTTTATTGACTGGAGTTTCTTCCTGCAGTCTTAAACCCACACGCATCTTCTTCCAATCCAGCTTCTCTTAATATATATTCCGCACGTGCCGTGGAAGGTGCTTTGTGTGGCCAGCGCGGAAAGGCATCTCCAACTAAATATTTGGGATAAATTAATGGGACGGGTGGTTTTGCTTTGCTTTTTAACGGAAGTCGGGGCCTGGGTGGACTTGAGGATTCCGGCTATTAGTCGGAACTTTTAATTATGTATTTTTG